ATCTCAAACAAAATATACGTATCCTAAAAGATATTTAAGAGTTTAATACAGAACTAGTGAATCGGAAATGTTCAAAGAATACAAATTGATGATGCAATTTCAATAACATGCAAATTTAACTTTTGCTTGTTGCTCTTGTGAATATATTCAACTGTAATAATATTGTGGGGGCCTATTTTACTCGAGAAATTGTGGGGTATATTTTTATTAACTATTATTGTACGTAGGTGTACGTTTGTTATTTTTAGTCCACGTGTATCGTAGTATGGTTTTAAATCGATGGAAATATTTAGGTGACAATAATATTGATAATATAGATTATATACTATGTATAAATATACATATTATATCTATATATTCATATACATATAGATAATAATATACTTACACATATAGGACGTTATTCTTAGAGTTATCGTCAATTTAATAGAGATAATTACGGAAATGATCGCTCATAGCGTCATAGCGTTTTCCCAGACCTAGTTTCATAAAAGATCCATTGTGGTAACTGTGCCAGCGGTATGTGTTTGAAAATGTTGGGTTTATGGGCGAGAAGTGAAGTAGGGAAACGTGAGGCAATGCCGAGGATTGCAGATTATGGACCATTTTTACAATTAATTTTTGCTCTACCGCGGTTTGCACTGTCATATTTTATAATAATAATATTTTTTATAAATAGTATAGTATTACGGGTGGTCCATACCATATATGTGTGTGCAATTAAAAACTTCATTGAACACTCCGGGTGATAAATTCCAGACTCTATTGTGTATGAAAATTTAATTTTTATTTATTTATTTTTTGTTTTATTCTGTTTTCGGTTTTGTTTGTGCATTTTTTTTCTTTCCTTTAGTATACGAACTATCTATCCACGAACCATTAGCCAAATGCTGCAAGTATAATGTATATGAAACAATTTAATTTTTTTTAGTTATTGTGACAAAATTAAAAAAAATTGGTAAAAAAAATAAAATCTTTAGTTTTTCATGCCTTTGTTGTTCAATTTTTTTGTCACTAATTATTTTTTGTAATAAAAGATCAAATTCAGTTGGTCAATACTCACTTTTTTTTTTCAACACTGTTGGCGCGTTATTAAAAAATCTATCGAAAATATCATTCTTAAATGAAATTGTTTTTTGTACTTTTTTTTTTTTAATCTAATTTTATTAATTAGTTATTGTAATACATTAATATTTGGATATTTGATGTATTTAAAAAAAAAAAAAAAATTTAATTATTTTTTCGAGTCCGGTTGCTTCGAGGAATTGAATGAGGTTGCCTGCGACTTGTTAAATAAATAAAATAATATGTTATTTGAAAAAAAAAACAGAATAATTGGAATCAGTGGCACCCCAAATGAATTTCTCGGGTGAAGCGAGATATAATAACCACCTTCCATCAAAAAACTGAAAATTCCAACAGTTTTTTTTTTATGTTTCATTGTTAAAATGTTATTGGTGTTATGCGAATCATAGCCCAGAAATATCGTGAAATATACAATATTATCATTATTAATAATAACAAAAATATTAATATTTCTCAAGTTTATCATTTTAACTTGCATGTTATAGCACCAATTCACCTCCTATTATTTAGGTGTAGCGGCTGTTACACGTAGCAATAGAATTGGGCGTCGATGCATGAAATAATAATTTATCAACTTCAACTATTAGCAACTCGTAAAAGTGTAGAATATTATAATATTTACGAGTTTTAATAATAGTGCATCTTGGAAAAACAAAATTCATGATTCATTTTTGATCCGTTCATTAATTTATTGTACTACGTAGATAAAAAACTGAATCTTAGTTTGAAAAATTAACTGTAGGCTCCAATAATTCAATCAAAGACTATAGAAATATTGCATGTATATTTTTTCTTAACCATTATTAGGAAAACGTTGTCGGATTAAAGACGTTTTAAATGCAATAGTAAGTTAAGTACACTATTAAATTAGTGTATTTTTACGAAGCCGGGTATATTTTCATTTATTCGCAGTACCTACGTGTGCGTATTAATGGTTCAATATTCAATAATCTATTTACATCAATGCAAATAGCCGAGAAATACCATAATTATTTTTTACGATATTTAACGAAAGCTTTTATTTTATGTGTACATACACATTGTCTATGTAAAATAAATTACACTGAATTCCATGTATTGATTTTGGCTTATCGTTTCAATGTAACGAATAATCCTATACTCTATACAAGTTTTTTATCATTCAAATATCAAGTTTTAGTCTATACCTTACCTTACCTTACCTTACTTTAGTCTTTACCTTTATCGTATAAATTAGTTTCGAAAGACACATTTTGCATGAAAATAAAAAGATTACTTTTGAAAAAAAAACTTATGATATAAAGAAATAAACTATTTACATTCACAATTATTTTATTATTGTATAATACAATATATTAGAATATTTAATCAATTTATATAGATACATTCCTATAATTCCCTTATACCTTATATTTTATGGAAATATACTTATTTCAAAAAATAGTTAACAATATTTGTATCCGAAGATAATAAATAAATATAATGTATAATATTAAAATGTAGATATTTTTAGAAAATAAATTAGCTATTTGAAAATGTTAAATAAAAATATGAAAGATATTAACTTGGTAATTAAACTTCATTACCATACACAAATTTTTGAAGTAAAAAAAATAGGTAAGAACGAAATTGCGAAAATAAAGAAAAAAATGATAATTATTTTTACTGTAATAACATAATGCAAATAAAAGTGGATAAAGTAATAACGTTTCTTAGGGTTTGTATATCAAAACTGATACTAAGTTTCATAAAATTAATTATGAAGTTATATATTTTATACATAATATTATTATGACCCATGTTTATTAATTGTTAAGTCTTTTGTTTTTTAATAAAATATACCTATATTTTATGAAAGACAATAAATCTGTTTAATAAGTTTATATTATAATACGTAAATAAATAAATATATATATTATATATTAATATTAATGTATAATTATTTTATATATTGTTTTATCATATAATAAGTATTTTTTACACACCGTTTTAATGCTTAACTTATTATACTACTATCTGCAATGATTTAACAGTTGCACCGGCATACATAGTGATAGCGTATATGCACTTATTAAATACACGGTACATGCGTTTAATTGCACTACTACAACATCGATAATCATTGCTTATCGATTACATTACTCTACATATATTTAGCTAACTCTAACGTTCAGCATACACATCCCATGTACTTAAGGCTGGATTTGTTTTGGAAGACTAGGGTAGCCACTAACGGAAATGTATTATATGGGGAAAAAATTAATAAATTGACATAAATCTTACATATTAATATATATTATAATATATTACTACTTTTGTAAAATAATGTTAATTGGAAAATAAAATAAATTCTTGAATTTTTAAAAAAATTCATTATTTGATGAAAAAATATGATTTTAATGTGCTGTATTATAATCCTAACGTATTAATGTACACTATTAAGAAAAACAGATCCTGCACCTAAAGCCCCAGAAAAAAAAACCCCTCAGCGTTGACGTTGACTTGGTGTACCGTTATCCGGCATTGCGTGCAACGCACGAAACATGCAGCTCGAGGTAGGACGAGAGTTTGTTACGCAATGGCTGCAGCAAGGGTAGTAGAGGAACCGAAGGGCCAAAGCAATATACCATATGTCAAGTGCGGGAAAACGATTTTAATTAAAGGCATTCGTCGTTTGTTGTCGTCTGACGATTTTACTTCTAAATTGCATTTTAACCTTTACCATCAAGCGCGTGTAAAGACAACGACGACACGACTACCCACCAGTTCACCTCCAAAATAGCCAAAATAAAAAATCAAACACAAAATATTGAATACAAAACTGCGAAAATCATTTATAGAAAGAAAAATTTAGCAAATAAAAAATTATGGAAAATATCAAAAAATTAAAATTAAGAAAACAATTATTACTTTTGTCGTATCTATACATTGTTTATTTTTATTATAAATAAAATATTTACGAACTAATATGTCAAATTATAGGTAATTTCTTTTAAAAAATTTAAATTATTACTCCCACCACTCCAGTTGGTATTTGTGTAGCACATATTATTTATTGCGGTAATTGTTGTGTGAACAGTTTCGTTTTTCATATTTGCTACTACGATCCTTGCATGACGTTTACTTACACTAGCCACTTGTGAATAATCTGACGGCCCTTTAGTAATAAATTCACTTTTAACTATCATTCGGCTTTTACAATGGTATTCAGTACACTTTAAATACATTGTGTTTTCAATAGTTTTTTTCACTCTGAATGTATATCCATCATACATTTTCAATTTTTTATTTTTATTACTAAGTACGAATTCCAAATTAATATATTATTATTTGCGCTCAGTGAAGAATTATACACGTAACACGAACTACAAAAACACTCGAACACTCGATTAAATTAAAATAACTCGATCTAAACCACGATTAAAGAATAAACATATCCAATCGTAATAATAAACTGATAATTTACTAGTGCCCGAAGAAATTATTATTTATCCGAAATATAGATTATCTAGATTTGACCAAACAGTTTTCACTATTTTTAGTTTGCGTTTTTTTTTTCGTTATTTTATTTTTGCTATTTTGACGGGATACCCTATCCACCACGCCGAATGTCCTGCAAAATGCCAAACGTGAGTCGTTACGGGGACGACCCCCATTGTCCTACAACCTCGCGCACTTTTCTCCTTGCGAGGCAGCAACTTTTGCCGGCACTGACAGGTAATCCGTTTTTCCCGACAACCGCTACCGCCGTTTTGTGCTGGTTGTTTTTAGTTCGAATTAACCGGGTGCGCGCCAAAATAATGAAATTACTCGGCGGCCGTACGATAAACAGCGCACAACACGCACGCACGAGCGCACGTCACACATCGTGAGAATAAGAAAAGACAAATTTCCAATGGTTTCTCAGTTGGGAGAAGTTGAGGGTAAAGACTCACCTCCGTATCCTGCGTAGGAGCTCTTTTGTATTGTTTCAAGCTCAGTCTGTGCCACGTCCTGGACTGCTGCTTTCCACCGCCCGCTCCTCCACCGCTGACTACATCCATCGTTGTCGTCGTCGTCGTGGTAGTCCCGAGGGGCTGACCCGACCTGATGCGCGATGCCGTTTATGTCAACATCTTGGAAAAAAAAATACGTATAAATGAAAATGAATAAAAGTTTTTACGCAAATGGATTTTGCGAATTTGTGCCTTTCCAAAGGTGTAGTCAATACACACTAATTCTGATAATAAGTGCACAACACCGATTGTTCCAGAAACTATTAACACCATATTTCACACACGTGGTCATGTTAATATAAATTCCAAATACTTTTAGCCGATCACTTATTTTTTGAATTTTTTTTATTTTTTATTTTTTATGTATATTTGCCAGCCGAATAAGTACTGAATAACTACACTTTAAACTTCCTCCGGAACCGGATAAAGCGCTCGTATAATTCACCATCATTATGGGTTAGGTGACGTATACATAACAACTACAATATGTATGCACATATATTTATACAGAACGTTTTCAGGGTAAAAGCTTTATGTTTTTTTTTTTTACATATTATAAAATATTTCAAAAACTTTTTTATTATTCAACTATTGGGAGCCAAATTAATCAAGACAAACCTTTAAATGTTTTTTAAGCATATTAACTGTTACAAAAGTGTAACTAGAAGAGAAATAAAATAATTTTAAATTAAATATAACGATTATTAAATTAAATCCACTACTGTAGTTAAATTTAAGTATTTATAAAACAGATATTATTAGATGATAATATAAGTTATGTTTATTATGTTAAACGCTAATGAGTTAGCTATTTGGTTTATTAATAATACGTTCTTTCAAATCTTATATTTTCCTGTGTTATCAACAAAATCGATATAGTCAATGATTAAGAAAAAATAAAATATCAACATTTAATTGGTTTCCTCAGAGTATTATAACTATATCATATAATAAATTAGTAAATTTAACTTCAGTTATGAATGAGTGAAACATTTTATCAATATTACAATTCTTGTTATTTAAAAAACATGAGCACATAAATACGTACCATCGATTATATCGATATACTATTATTACTAATTATTATACAAAGTAAAACATATTAATGTTTTGAGTATGAAATCAACAATTACTACCATCCTATTGATTTGATAACTATAATAATAATAATCACAAATTATAAATGTAATGTTAAATCTAAACGCTATTATATTAATGAAGTTTCACATTATTAATTTCTTATAATTAAAAATCTTCAGTAAATGTAACTTTTTATATGCATAAAATAAAAACATTAGTTATTTTTAAGAGGTTAAAAGAAAAAAAAGTTGTAAAACTACATGAAAAATGATTAAAATACAAATTATTTAAACCTAATGTGTACCTAATTTTTTACAGTCATTATAAAAGTCTATTAGTATGACCAATGAACTATCTTGGTATAAATAAACTGATTTCAGTTTTATTTTTTATTTTAAATATTTAATAAATTTGTAATCTTTTATGGCTATATATAAATATTAAATTTTAGATGCATTTAAAAATATGTAATTAACAAATAAATGTCAAATGTACCTAAATGTAAAAGGATTAGAAAGTTACATTTTTATAATTTACATTAGTATGCGACCTAGGCACACAACGAAACAGAATAGAAAATATAACTATACAAAGTTAATTATTTAAAACGAAAAAAAGTGAATCAGGAAACCTATTTTTCAATAGAATTTTATTAGAAAAAATAATTCGTAAAATACACTAAAGCATAACCGTACATTAGCATAACCGTACATTAGCATTATATAATAAGTATTATTAATAACATTATATTTGATAACAAGCATTTGTAGTGACATTGGTTGAACAAGAATTATACCGAATAACAGCAAATAAATTGTAGTTTCCTGTTTCCGACACACCATCAGTTGAAAGTTAACAACAATATTTGAAAACATTGTGTTATTTATTCGTCGTCCATTGACTATGTTTACAACGAAATTAGATTAATGATGGAAAATAAAAACTGGGTTATGGCGAAAACTAATTTATTAAGTTAGTAAATAGTACAATATACCTTATATATAGTGTAAAACTCAATACTAACTAAATAGATACATTCCATAGAAGGATTAGAGAAAAATTGAGTATTGCTATAATAATAACATCGATGGAATATTATAATATTCTAATTAAAGGCCTTATATAAAAATTGATTAATTTAGTTCTTGTTTGTTTCCAGTTCTATTAATTCCTGTTAGACAACTGATGATCCGAATATTATTTTTTTTTAATATTGAAAGGATATGCGTAACTTCAAATTAAATTTATTTGTTTAGCGGATTTTCGAGCCGAATTATTACTTCACAAAGTATAAATTATAATAGTCTTTCAAGTTCTCATTAAATCGATTAATTTTAAAACAATTTTCCGACTTTTTACTATACATTTTTTAACTAACTTTGACTACAAAATCCATTAGCTTTTTAAAATCGTATGAACAATTGTTACGGAAATGGTTTGTTTGTTGAGCAAATAGTTTCGTTTCTAAAATTCCAGATCACCCATTCAAGAACTAGAGACGTTAACGACAAGACCGAGACAGCACCGATTGGCACCAGTAACAAATGACTGCATCGACACTCTTAACACATTATTAATATAATAATAACATATATGTACGAGTATTGAGAGGCAATTTTTTTTAACAAGGATTTATTGGAAATATCAATATATATGAGTACATAGCTAACATGGAAATACTTTGTTATTTCTAGATTTAATTATATTATTATTCAGATAGTATATATTTAAATCAGTAAAATAACATATCAATTCATGATTTGTATGTTATTTAAAATCTAATGAGGAAAAATTGCTCAGTTTTTTTTATACGTATAGAATATAGATTTATTGTCAACTATTTTTATTTTTTATTAATACTGGTTACCGCACTGTATATATGATTATAGATAGATAAACGGTTATTATATTTGAGCGAAGGATCCAAAAATGCAAAATAAAAGATAACATATTTTAAGTCGTACTATGTATAATATTATTAGTTTATAATTTACTGAAAAATCAATATAATGGCGTACGCACTTTCTATAGAAATTTAACCATGTTTATTCTCAAATTCAAAATACATTTATTATTAAAAATCATAAATTTCTCTCATGAACACGTCTCTCACAATAAAATTTAGGTTTCAGAATAAAATATAAAAATTATAATGAATATTCGATTATACTTAATACGAATAATATTTCTCTGGTTTAAATGAACATTTAGCCGTTTGAACTTAGATACTTTACATATCTACACAATCGTATCATTTGATTTAATGATAAATAGTTAAAAATATTATTATTCGTTTGAATAATAAATTAATACAATTTTAGCAACTATAAAAGCTTATTATGATATTTAATACGATATACTATGGTATATTAATAGGTTGAAGATCGACGACGACGAAAATAGAATATAGTTGAGCGTGGAATACGAGTTTCGGTTTTAATTCACCGTTCGAATTAAAACAACACGCTCTACGTGAAACCCGACTGCTGATTCATCAATGACGAATAGTTTAGTCAAGAAAGACTTGCTTTAAACGTAATAAAACAGTCAGTTAAATTTTATCCACATTTCTAATTTTTCAACAGATCTCTCATATACATGACTTCTCAATCCTGTAGTGCCACGTGCTCTTAGTGGATTTTTAATAATTTTTATAGTGTTTACTCTTTTCGTTCGCTCTCACTGTTTACACAATATTGGAAGATTTACAAAACGTTGTTTTATAATATACATACGATTCTGATGCGGACCGCCCGGCCGTCGTTACACAACGGTTGTCGTCTATCTTTCCTGATCAACCATCAATGCGCTAGGCGCAACGTCAACGCGACACCCGGTTCGACAACCACGGGTCATGGACGTTCCGAAAAAATCGTAATTTTTGTTATTCTTGTTTTTCTTGTTTTTGTGTGTTTATCGTAATACATTTTAATCTGCTACCAGGATATGTCTCGTTCTCTTATTTTCATTTAATATTATTTCATTTTCATTTACCATCAAATCGTGTAAGTAATCTCAAGTAAATGACACCAAAAATTACTAATTTTACAGTATTTACATTATACAATTTATACATACATAATTTTTATATAAAAAATAATCAACTTAATAAATGTATTATTATAATAAACGATTTGGTAATACGAGTTAAATTTCTATTAAAAAAAAAACCTTATTGGAATCATGAAACTCTATATTATATTCATACAATATATCGTTTATGGTCTGTGGTCGCCAATATAAGAGAAAATTACTTAATTAATAAACGTGTGGGTCTGTTGTTCATTAGTAATCCTTTGTAGATTCAACTCATCGATAAATTATAACGTATGTTTATACGACACGATCAGACGAAATATGATTCGCATCGTTCCGAGAAAATGTATTATAATCAATTACAAAAAGGCAATACTTGAAACACTAAGAATAAAATTAAAAACTCACTAGACGTCGAAATTGGAGTACAGAACATCAAATTATATACAATTTACCAAATATACGTATACATAATATATATATATATATATATATATATATATATATATATATATATATATAACATAAGTTTAATTCACTATGATCTATCATACTAAACAATAGGAATGATAAAATGCATAAAAATTAATTTTTAACAATTGTCCAAAGTATTAAAGAAGATTTTCAAACTGCAAAGAAGTGTAGTTATTATTATCATAAACCATGTATAAAATAAAAATATATTTACTAACTTACCTAAACCTCTAATAATATTGGTTAAATGATTTTAATTTGCTAATTTATACATTTTTATATTGTCTACCTGTAATTTTAAGTCCTTTCTTTATCAATTTATATTGCCTTGCAGCATTAATCATCGTAGTAAATTATAAATCAATAAAATTAGTGAAAAAACTACAGTTATTGATTGAAAAGATTTTTGGTAAATTTTCATGGGGGAAGTATGTGGTATGCAGTATACCATTGGAGTAAATAATTAATAAATATACACATTTTTGTAATAATTTTATTTATATAACTAATAAAAAACTAATAAAATGTAT